GAAGAGGAGGGAGAGGGGCGGAAGAGGAGGGAGAGGGGCGGAAGAGGGTCGTTGCTTTCGCTGTGACAGGATCGTCCCTGGCAGCGGCACCTGCACCCACCATGGCGTCCGGCTGCAAAATCGGCCCGTCCATCCTCAACAGCGACTTGGCCTGCCTGGGGGCCGAGTGCTCCCGGATGCTGGATTCCGGGGCCGACTATCTGCATCTGGATGTAATGGACGGGTAACTCCTCCGGGGAGCTGGAGCGGGAGCCGGGGCCCGGGGCGGTCTGGGGCGGCTGCTGCACGTGCTCCCCCGGGAGGCCTGGGCGGCGAGTGCTGGGGCCTGGCCGTGCGGGGGAACGTGGCCGCCCGGGGCCCTCGTCCTTCCCTGGAGCTTGGAGGGACTGGACGTGGATCAGATCCCTTTCTAACCAGTGCATGCTCCGGGCGAGGAAACCGAGGCCCGCCGAGGGCATGGAGGGCGCTTGCACCGGGCACCTAAACGCACCGCCCAGCTTGGGAACTCTCTCCCTGCTCGCCCAGTTCTTTTCAGCTGAGACTGACCAAAGTGAACGTGAACCAAAAACTAATTTTAAAAAAAATGCCTTTAAGGTCATGTTTTATAGACGTGTCATTTGCCAATACCAGGTGTTCCAAAAGTCTTAGTGCAGTTTTAAGCTATTAAGAAAACCAGTTTAAGGCTCGAAATGCTGACACAAACTGCCAACGAGCTATTACTTCGTAGGTTGTTGTTCAGTCGTATCAGTCATATCTGACTCTTATTGACCCTTTTGGGTTTTCTTGGCAAAGAACTGGAGTGGTTTGCCATTTCCTTCCCCAGCTCATTTTACTGAGACAAATAGGCTGAAGTGACTTGCCTAGGGTCACACAGCTGTAAGTGTCTGAGGCTGAATTTGAACTCAGCCCTTCCTGAGTCCAGCCAAGTCCTGTATCCACTGTGCCACCTAGCTTTGCTTCTTTGCTTCATAGGTATGAAATGGCAAGATATAAATGCTAGCAATGATGATGATGATTTGTCAGAAGCTGACATTGAACTTGGGTCTTCCTGACTCTGAGGCCAGTTTTTTTATCCACCATGCCTCTCAGGCACTTTTAGATAGGCCAGATAATAAACAGTCACTGGACCATAATGAGGTTGATATTGGTTCCCATAGAATATAAACATAAGTATATAAGTGCACATATATGTATGTATGTATACACACACGCACCTGTTGAAATAATTACTTTTTGAAGCTTTTGACAGAATTAGAATGTACATCTTAGATTGTCTGGCCTGGAACTCAATTCTCTGAGCCCTGCAGATTATTAACTATAAGATCATGGATAGAAGTACTGGGTATATGAACAGGAATAGGAACTGGTCCTTTGATTTCTTTGCCAGAGGAAACTCCCTGTGTGAATACAAATTGTCACCTTCTCCATAGCTTCTAGGCCTACGGAGTTGCCTGTGACTTGCTCAGCATCACAGAGTCAGTGTATCAGATACTAGACTTGAAATCCAGCTCTTCCTGGCTACAAAGTCAACTTTCTATCTGATATACTACAATGCCTCTCTTTATGTGAGCATTGAGAGAACTAAATGCTCTGGAACAAATGCTTTCTCACTTTCTTTTTTTTAGCTTCTGGGGTTTTGTTTTTGTTTTAGGCAATTGGGGTTAAGTGACTTGCCCAGGGTCACACAGCTAGTAAGTGTCAAGTGTTTGCTCTGAAGCCACATTTGAACTCAGGTCCTCCTGACTTCAGGGCCGGTACTGTATCCACTGTGCCACCTAGCTGCCCCGCTTTGTCACTATACCATGCTCAGGTTTCTTGTATATTATTTGCAATGTAAATATAATAATACCAAGCCTACTATATGCCTCTCGCTCTTTGTTTTTCTTACTTCACTGGTCCATATTTACCTGAACAGACATAAAGACAGCTTTCTGCTGTCATTTTTTTATTGTGCAGTTTACCTTCACTGAGGAATTCAACGGATTCAAATTTAACCAACAGCGAACTACTTTATGCAGGGCTCTGTGCTACTTGCTGAGGAAGATAACAAAGTTTAGATAAGACAAGACCTATCCTCCCAAAACAGCCAGTAATCCTCTTGGCGGTTATCATCTAGCAGTAGGATAAGGCACTGACATAAAAGCTGTAGTAATGCATTCATTGGAGTTTTGAAGTTAATGCTTTAAGAGTCTGAGGGAGAAAGTCCTTACCAACCAGGAAGATCAGGGCATACTTTGTAGAGGAGATGACATTTAGGTGGTCCCTAAAGGTTGGCAAAACTAGATTTAGAACTAGAAGGAACTTTATAGTTCTTCTTCATCCTCTTCATTTTACTGATATGAGAACTGAGGCTCCAAAAGAATTAAATAACTTACCCAAGGTCACATAGGTAGCAAGTTACAGAGCTGGGATTTGAATGTAGGTCCTCTGGCTCAAGATCCAATGTCTCCTTCTGCTGGAGTGTGCTTTTTAGAAGGGACTGTAGATAAGGGATGTTCTAGGGACAGGGAAGAGGCTTAGGTGGGATACAACAGAGATTATTGAGGGGACAGAGTTCAGGTTTGATGATAGCATAGGAGGTGAGAGACAAAGGAGTTTTCCTCAGCAGGCGATAGAGATCCACTTAAGATTTTTTTTAAAAAGGAATGACTTGACAAGATCTATGTCTGCATAAGGAAGATTACTTTGGCAGTGATGTGAATGGTGGGTGGGTGGGGGAGTGAAATGTGAAGGCTGAAGACCTGGTAGAATGCTATAGCAATAAGTATTTAATGGTCTGTATTCAGTAAAAATAAAACTAGTAAACAGTCACTATTTAATGAAGCTGTTACATAGCACCTTTCTTTTGAGAACTCTGAGGTTTAACCTTTCAGATACTTAAATACTTTTAATAAGTTTGCCCCTCAACATTTTTGTGATCTAGCAATTGATGCCATTTTTACTTTTATATCTTGTTGCCTTACCACATTTAGCTGGTAGTCTTTGATAACATATCCTAAGTTCAGAGTAATGTGTAGGTTTTTTCCATTGTGGTGAGAGCCCCCGAGTGGATCACAGGATACATAGTACAGGAAGCAACAAAGGCTATATTTAAAACAACTGTTTAGCAGAGTGAGGCCAGAAGAGCAAAAGATTGCTGAAGTCAAATAGGCTTGAAATAACTTAAGAAACACCCAAATGCTTGGGTGTTGTCAGAAATAGGAAGGCAGTTAAAACACCAGCCGTAATTTTGCAATTTGTTCATAACCGATCGAAGGTTTACTCTGGGGGAGGGGAAAAGATCTTTGTTTTATAATCTTTATAATTTTATTCTCCATTGGCAGTTTTTTTTGGGGGGGTGAGGATGGGAGAGGTGTTGAGGAAACAATGTTTACATTCTCTGAATTCCTTATAACCTTTCTCCATCTTGTTTCTAAACCCAGACTAGTCAGGGTGTTCCCTGAGGAGGTAACCACTGCTAACTCCAACTAACCAGTTTCTGACATTAGGAAATAAGCTAGGATGGCATGACAACCCTGAGTTTTAGCTGAGCTTCTGTACTGTCACTGTGGTTTTCTTTTTCTCCTAGGTGCCTTGGCTTATTCTCTTTCATTACCTCATACACCATTAGAACTTGGGTCCCTTCTTTCCAGGTCCGTCCCCTCCATCCATATGGTTTCCTGAACATAAACTTAATAAGAAGCATTTTCACTGATGCAATAAGAGGGTGTGTGTGTGTGTGTGTACAAAGGAACATTTGAGAACTATTATTATAGTTGTCTGTATGAATGTCCAGAGCAGCTCTTGAGTGGTAGAGAATTGGGAGACCTGTAACATAATGAGCTTCCTAGTGCAGGATTATGGGAACTCATATGGAAGCTAAGCAGTTAAATTCAACATTTTTGGAAATTGATTTCTACTATTAGGAGAAGCCATCCCCAGCAGGACTAAAGGAAAAGGTCTGACAATATTATTTTGGGACAAGAGAGAGTTAACTGATTTTGAAGGGACCTAGGTTCCAGTTATATCTCTACTATTATACTACATACAGTAACCTTAAACCTTTTGCTATCTTTGATTTGCTAGGATACTTGGAAAGGTATGTGAGATAGCCGGTTTGTTTAGCTGTATAGCAGTGAAACTATAAAACGTCAGTGATCTAACTTAAAACAAGGAACTAACAATTATATTTTTGTCAGAACAGACCTACTGAAAGAAAATAGGGGTCTGAATATTAGATGTAGTTTTAAATATTGTTGATAATTCTTTGCAGACTTGTCCCACTTCATTCACTGGGTTAGGAGTTTCTGAGATGTAAAGTGAGAGAATTTCCCAGATAGAAATTTCTTTACGTTGGACTAGTAAATAGTTGAGTGATGCTTGTTGAATAGGGCAAAGAATTACCTAGAGTGAGGTTGGGAAGAGAAACTCAGCTAATGTCTTCTGATTTCTCCTCATAACTTGGAGAAGAGCCTTTGTTTCTTCACACTCATTGAATTCCATCCCTGTTCAATAACAGATGTTATTGAACCAAAGTAGAATGTATGCTGACAGTGAACTGACTGTGTGTCTTTTGAGTGAGGATCAGCCCAGCTAGGTCCAAAAAGACACTTTATCACATTGACCACGGGGTGTTGTTGTATTTTTCACTTATATCAATTTTCAAATGCCATCTACCAAAGATGGCCTTGGGTGAGGGAGCACTCACAGGTGATCTTCTAAGTGTTGTTTATTCAGCAAAGGAAAAGTAATCTTCAGTTGCTGCTAGAGAGAAGGGCCTAAAAGTGTGTAAGGACTTTTTATATGATAACCACTGATTTACTATATTAAGGGAGAAAAGTTAAGGAACTACCAGTTTCTAAAGTCTTCTAATGACCCTACTTAAATCTATGATCCTGTGATCCTGTGTTTTCTGGTCCCTTGTGGTTATTTGTGTAAAAGAAAGAAAGAAATAATAAAAAAGCTTCAGAAAAGCTAATTATAAAGTAGACACTGAATACATCCAGTGTGACCTTGCAAAAGAAAAACTATTTCTCTGAAACCAGTATTAGACTTAGGTTTCTTTAACCTGAAGATGTTAATGCTGCTTGGAATGTGTCCTGGTAAATTCTATTGATCTGTAAGTGTTCAACAAATAACTAATGTAAACTGAGGGTCATTGGCACCTCTTTATTTGATAGTCCAGTATTCCAGTCAGGTGAAAGCATTTTGCAGTTAATAATTCTCATAACAATTAGGTAGAAAGCACTCTCCATTTGTAAAGGCATGTCAATTCATGTGCCTAAGCACTTACATTAAGTTAAAGGAATAGAGCCTGGAATCCAGAACTTTGGGCTCTTTCTAGTATACTATCCATTATTAGACTTTCTGCTTGTCCTTACCTCTTTTGCTCCAAAGGGTAAATAATCACAGGAGTCTTGTACTTGATCAGCCCTGAAAATCAGTACTGCTGGGGTAATGTCAGAGTGACCCAATCTCCAGATTGCTAGAATTTGACTGTCCATGAAGCTGTTCTTACAGCAATCCACTTTCACCACCTCGACTGTCTCCTTTATGCTTATAATGTCCAAATTCATTCATTAACCATATGCTTGCTGAATAAATGACTGATTTAAAAGATTATCTGGCTTCATTGATAATCTTTTGAAATTGAATACCAGTCAGTGAGAGGGGTATAGTTTATGGTCAAAAGTTAGCCTTTTATTTGGAAGCAAGTATGCAGGAATCCCTATTCCTATATAGATGACACATAGTTTAAGCCAGCGTGATAGAATGTACTCTAGGGTTAGTCTGCACAGTGGACTCAGACTTCCAGCTGTCCCGCTAATTAATTGTGTGACCTTAGGCAAACCATCTAACCTTTCTGAGTTTCATTTTCATTTGTTCATCTGTTCATCTGTTTCTTTATTTGCCCTCAGGGTTGTTTTATCCGGTAAGATAATATATTTGAAAGGTAAAATACTTATAAGAATGTATTCTTTGTTAAAGTTTCTAAGTGGCCATTGATTTTCTAAATTGAAGTACTCTAAGTGTGCTTAATTTCATTTAATATTAATACTCTTAAGTGTTCAATTGTGTTGTCTACCTCTCCCTCCAATCTTCACTGTTGAAATGTTAAGAAAATGGAGTTAATTCCATTGAAAAAATAATTTTCTTTGTTTTCGTAGGCATTTTGTTCCCAATATCACCTTTGGTCACCCTGTGGTAGAAAGCCTTCGAAAGCAGCTAGGCCAAGACCCATTCTTTGGTAAGTAGTTATGAAATCTTAAGCACAGTGGTGTAGCCAATTAAATTAAATTCAAAACAGTTTGCTTCTGTATCCAATGCATTTGGCAGGTTGGTGGACAATGAAGGATGGTTCTTATATTGATTTTTGAATACTGTAATGGTCTGAATTTAGGCTGTACTATCCCTTAAATCTGGCGTCTTGTAAAACCTGAATATGGCCCCAAAGTTATTTTTTACTTTGTATTTCTATTTTTCGCCCTTCAGAAAGTGTATCCTATCAGGAATGCAGCCTCTAAGATTGTATAGTCATGTAATTTGCAATGCATTATATTTTAAATTTCTTTTAAATGTAGAATTTTAGGATATTTGCTATGTATTTTCAGTTGTATGTTCAGACTAGCAGAATAGTTTTTCTGTCTTCCCTCACAGCTTTCAGGACATATTTTTCCTTCCCCTCTTCCTCCCCCAAATTAAGGATACAATTCTACCCTCATTCTTATTGTATAGAATAACCCGTTACTTTTATGATTGTTACAGATAAGACTTTTCAGAGTTTTTATCTTATTCCTCAGGTTTCTGACATTTCATCTTTTAGGATTTTAACTAGCTCAGCTAGATTTCCCTTACCTCCACTAGCCATATTGTTAGCAATGCTTCCTAAGGCCCACTTGATTTCACTGGATGTATGGCTCTAGATTAGTAATGATGCTATCATGGTTATTGGTGATGTTAAGGTCTTCCTTGTATAGTTCTTTTGTGTATTTTTGCAGACTCTTCTTAATCTCTTCAGCTTTTGTTACATTTTTGTCTTTTATCTTTGCATGAACCATTCCCTTAATATCTCTTAAAGAGATCTCTTGTCTTTTCTACTCTCTTGTTTTCTTCTCTTTCTTTGCAATGCCATTTGAATGCCTTGCTATTCTCTAAAATTCTGCATTCAGTTGGGTATATCTTTCCCTTTCTCCTTTACCTCTCACTTTCCTTCTTTCTTCAGGTATTTGTAAAGCATGCAGACAGGTGATGAGTGCAGTGTGTAAGAAGCAGGGCTGAAACATAGAATGCAAGGCAGGAAGGTAATCTAAATTGAATCTTATAAGGAGGTTGGGGCCAGTCATGAAAGACTTTTGTAAATCTAACAGAATAATTTAGAATTTATCATTTAGATGATTGGGAACCATTGGAGTTCATTGAATAGGAGAGTGACATGAGCAGACTTGTACTTAGAGGGAAATTACTTTGGCAGCTGTGTGAAAGATAGATTGGATTGGGGCCAGCCTTAAGGGAGCTCAATTGCAAAGTCATTGCAGTAGTCTGTGTGAAAGGTCATAGGGTCTGTGACAATTAAAAAGAAGATGCTAAGAAACATAGTATCTGGGTAATTTAATCATTAGTAAGGCCAGCACATTATTAATAAAAGGATGGTTATTTGGCTGTCTCTCTTAAACCAAAGACAATCATGGCGGGCAGGCTCACAGTTTATATTTTCTTAGAAGAGTAGGTGTTCAGTGTGGGGCTGAGAATGACATCATGTTGTCACCCTTGGGCAGAGAAATTATCTCTATACTCAGACTACCCCCAGCCTGGGGCTACCTAGACAAAAGGATCTTTCTCCACCCAGTCTTTTGAGTAGAACACAATGGGTTTCCTCACCTTAGATTAAATTCCTTGTGAGGTTGGCTGGGGTCTGACCTAGATTGGGGAGAGTTAATTCAATCTCATTATCAGTAATGTCCTCCAAGAGGCTGAACTTTTAAAATCAGGTCTTTAGAAGGAGAGAAGAACTCTGGCTCTCTCCAAATTATTGGTTATTAATAATCATTTCAGGTCTGAGCTAAGGTGATTACTATGTTGCTAGCAAGAACAAGACAGAAGTGCGATGTGGAGGTAGAATGAAAAAGTAAATGTGCCTCTCAGTCCCACACAGCCCCCTTCTATAGTTATCAAGACCAAGTAGCAGAAAAGAGGATGTGGGATGCTAAGAACTGTACAATGTTTAGCCTATTAAAAGCACGAATTACCAATACTCTAAATGTGAGGCAGCATGTTGGGATGGAAAGAGAAATGACCTGTGATTCTGGAAGACCTGATTTCAAGATCTTCCTCTGGTACACGCTAGCTCTATGACCCTGGGCACATTACCCTCTTGGCCCAGGCAACTCTCTTAAGACCTTAAATTGCTCTTTTCTGTATCGATAGAGGAAGTTCTTCTTTACATAGTTAAAATTGTAGTTTTTAAAACCCCCAAACCTTTAAATATGAGATCTTTGTACATTGATGGCATGCTACTGCAGGAATTAAAGTAATCCATATGGATATTCTTACTGTAAGTAAAACTAGAAGACAGAGATGCTATAGCTAAACGAAGCGTGGATTGCAGGCTTCAAGAAACCTAAACATTCCTCTGCAGGAAGCCACCAACACTGTTGGCCTGGAGGTAGACTAATATTTTGAAAGAAAAATGTAGCCTCACTGAGGAACCACATGGTTAGATGCAGGGGACTCTGAACCTCTGTGAGAGAAGAGAAAGGAGAGAGAGATACCCAGCCTCATTCCGGAGTAGGAAAGAGGCCTGAACCATTTGAATGACCCAGGAGAGAATAAAGGATCAGCACATCAGCAAACCTTGTGCCCTGAGAAGCAGCCTAGACCCTGTAGGCCTTTGCAAGTACTGTGAATTGTGGAAACAGTATAGGTCCCAACGGAAGGTAAAGCCCACCAGAAAGGAGGGTTTTTTGACACTCTAGGAAAAGACAGAAGAGGATTTGCTTATGTTTGAGGCTCCAGTTTGAGCCGTTGTGATTTTGTTGGCTGGGTCGAATAAAATCTGTTTTATAGTTGATGGCTTGTTAGACTGATTGTGAAGAAGCCAGTGTCTCCTTAGTTAATGATATTCCTAGGTTTCCTTTGAGTCAGAGCATGAAACAGATTTTTTTTTAAAGAGTCTCCCCACTGCCTCCCCCTGTTCCTTGCAAGAAAAGGGGAGAAAGGATAGTTTTATTGTGCTCTTAAAGGCAATAAGAAATTGCATTGTTCATCTTACTTTGTAGTTCTCAAACACAGGGGGAAAAAACCCAACAATATTCAACTTATATAATGAAATCTCTTGTAATGGTTGAGGGAGAAAAAAATTGTATTTATAACAGCTTTTCCAAAGCAAATCAACATTACCCTAGCTTGTATTTCTTCTTACTTATATGACTGCCACTCTAGTTAAGCCCTCATCATTTCTGGCTTTGACTATTGCCCTCCTAATTGGTCTGCCTACCTCAAGTTTCTGCTTTCTCTAATCCAGCCTTCATGTAATTGTCAAATTGACTGTCTGAATATACACAGGCCTGACCACGTCACTTGCCCGGAAGTTGCAATGCTTCCCTCTTGTCTCCGAGGGTAAAATACAAACTATTTTGGCATTTGAAACTTTGAACAATCTTCCATATTGGGGTTCACATTACTTCTCTGCATGGATTCTACAGTGCAGCCAAATGGGCTTACTTACTATTTCCCATTTATAACATTCTATCCCTTGCCTCATTGCCTTTGTGTAAGCTGGTCCCCATTCCTGGAATGCTGTCTTGCCTGACCTCTGTGTCTAAGTGGAATACCTAGATGAACCCTCCAAGACCCATCTCCTCCAAACATCCCCCCAATGTCTTGAAGTTATTTTTTATTTATTTATATGAATGTTTTCATTCTGTAGAATGTAAGTTCCTTTAGTACAGGAACTTTTGTTTGTATTTCTAGTGGATAGCATAGTATCTTGCTACACATAATAAATATTTATTGAATTTAATTGCATACAATGATGCTCCAGTTCTAGATGTCACATTTTAGAAGGAAAGTTGACAGACTGAAGAATGTCTAGAGAAGGGTGACTAGGATGGTAAAAAGCCCCAATACAATGCCATTTGTGTATCATTTGAAGGACCTGGAGATAGTTAGATTAGAGAAAATAAGTCTGAATGAAACATGTAGATAACTGAGAAGCCTTACAGCCATATGTCATAAAAAAAATTCTTCAAAAAGTAAGTCATAAAGCTCTGGTGAACATTAAATATTCTCACCAAAAAAGTTAATTAACTATATTTTAATAGACATGAAGAGTTACTGATGTGAGAGTCTTTTCTAGAATCAGTAAAGCTATTAATGCATAGGTCAATAACACCAAAATTGAACAAAGGATAAAAATGAGAATAAGGCACTGTATATATAAAAGAGCTCCAACCTAAATGAATCATTGACTAAAAAATAAGAAATTAAGTAAAGTAAAGATATTGACTCTGATTATCACCATATCTTAGAGCATTTTAACAAGCCTAAGGTTCCAAAGAGCCCAGCATCTGCTTCTGCCAAGAAGCAAGTAATTTAACTGGAGAGATACTGGCTTAAGGTACTAACTCATTTGAAGAACAGTTATGAAAAAGTGTAGTGAAAGATTACCCACAGCATTGTTAGAGAACAGCGGGGAAGAAAATGAGCCCACAAAAACATTTAGCATGAGATACAAAACAGATTATTCCAAGATCATGAAACCAAAAGGGAGCACAACACAGAGATTCAAAATGGAACAGATTTTCCATTATTTATCATAGCTATGATAATGGAACTATACTTCTGGGGATTCTAACACCTCAGTACCTGATGTGCTATATAAGAAAATAGAAATAGTATTTATGAAAATAAAGTTAGAGAAAGCAGTTGGACTGTACTAAAAGAAATTCTGTTGGAAGTTACACAGTTTTGAAAACTATATGTCAGTTTTCAAGATATTTCAGAATGGGAGGGATACACGAAGTAGGAAAAAAATCATACTGTTGTTGGCCCCCCAAAATCAGTTGAAATGACATCAGCAGGTACTAAAACATTTAATAATCCCTACTCAGTGATACACAGAGTGTGATAGCTGGAGTTTCAAATTGACTTGGGGAATTTAAATCGTGTCTCTGTTAGTACTTAATTTTGCTGTTCCTTTCAGACATGCACATGATGGTTTCCAGACCAGAACAGTGGGTAAAGCCAATGTCTGTAGCAGGAGCAAATCAATATACCTTTCATCTGGAAGCTACTGAGAACCCTGGAGCACTGATTAAAGACATTCGAGAAAATGGGATGAAAGTAAGAAGCAAGTAGCCTGTTTTTGTTCCCTCTTTTTATGACTGTAGAAGATTTGGGAGTATGTAAGAAATGACAGAGAGAAGTTGTAATAAGTAATTATCTGCTGCTTAGAGAAAATAACCTTATTTTGGCTTTGCCAATGTCTGAGGTACTACCTGTCTTTCAGGTGAACTTTAGCAAACATCTGATTCACATGGTAGTATTTAAGGAGACTTGAGGTTTAGTACATCTTCTGCTGTTAATTAGGTGCGACCTTAGACAAGTCACCATGAAATGAAAGGTTAAGGATTACATGTTAGCTAATATTCCTTTCAGCTCTTAACATTCTCTTAATCCTTTTTCAAACACAAATCATTCTAGTCACATTTTCCAAAAATTGCTGCTGGAAAATGTTAAAATTAATACTCTTCTATTTCTACTTGCCCTCAATAATTTGTATATCTTCCCAAACATTAAGAATGTCACTAGAGATTTTCAGCTGAGCATGATTATCCAAAATATTGTTTATGGAGGTGGAACTTGTTAACCCTAGGAGTCTAGTTTTATGCCTAACGTATAAAGTACTTTGTTGATATAAGATGAGGATAGTGATTCATGGATTAACATGTATTCTCTTGTTGTAGGTTGGTCTTGCTATTAAACCTGGCACTACAGTTGAGTATTTGGCACCATGGGCCAATCAGATAGATATGGCCTTAATCATGACAGTGGAACCTGGGTTTGGAGGGCAGAAGTTCATGGAAGACATGATGCCAAAGGTAATAAAGGGTGTGGTGTTGAGATGTAGCTATTTATCTGTGTCGTGGAAATCAGAAAGATTTCTTTTATTTCACAAGTTTTGCTCTTTCACCTTTTTGTGAATATTAGAACATTTTCTTTTTTCTTCTTTGTTGTTGCTAATGTCATTTTGGCTGCACACTGTTGCTGAGTCTGTGACCTCATTCTCTTTTCTTAGTAACCACTCTCTCCCTTAGCTTTTTTTAGCCTCTCCTCCAAATAGAGGTCTAATTGCAACTGTTCCTCAAATTCAGCCTTACTTGATTCTTCTTCATAGCCATCATCTCCAGGGCAGAGTGTTAAAAAAAAAAAAATGCAGAGAGATAAACAGTGGCCTCCACCACTCTTCATAAACCCACTCTTCTTCCAGGTTCTTGCCTTTTCCTATTGAGGGCACCACCTCATCCTTCCATTCACACATGTTCTCAGCATTGGAGTCATCCTCAACGCATCACCCTTCTTCATCTCCCATATATGTAGAAGTGCTAAGTTTTGTCAACACTTATTGCTCTCAGCCTTGGATTCATCTTCATCTTCCATATATATTCAAATGCTAAGTCTTGTCAGCGCTTATTTTTATCTGTCCCCTTCTCTCTATTCACAAGTCCACAACCTTGTTTAGTCAGTCATCCTTCCTAGTGGACAGTGTTTTCTTAATTCCAGTTTCCATTTTCTCTTCCTCTCCATTGCTACAATCCAAAATAATCTTCACAAATCTGATCATGTCACTCCCTTATCAGGAACCTAAATGGTTCCTTCCAGAAAGAAAGACTTACACATAGTTTCCATTTCCAACAGTTTTCTGGTGTGTGGAGTTTAGTAGCACTTTCCTTTGAACATTTGAGGCACAAATGTCACCCTTGAAGATATCAGCTGACATTTAGGGCCAGTAAAATCTCTTTCTTACAAGCTCAAGCATGCTTTCTTTACCCAGGTGTCCAAACGAGGTCTAGTAAATAAGTAGTAGTGCCCAGTAGTGAGACCCAGTTATTTCTACAGTAGTCTGTTAGTGACTCTCATGGGATGGCTGAGATACAGTTGACTCTTGCGGTACGTTAACAAACATTAGGGCGTTCTACATTGCCGTTCTGCTTAGGGCTCTGCTGCGTGAGGTCCTATGCGGACTCACAGAAGACCTGGGAAAAAGCAAGTGGGGCATGGCATAGTTTTCAGGCATCTCAACTCAGCAGTCCCCACTACCGCGTTGACATTTTCCTAGCGCCTGTTCAGTGATGTCCGCATGTCTGGTTCGTTTGTCAAGTGCCCTCAGCACATTTGTGAGTATCACGTCCATTGGAACCTATCATCCCCTCAAGCTCTCATCTTATGTTTCTTCAAACCCCTAGAAAAATTATCTATGCTAGTTGTCTTTGCAGTATGGCCTCTGACGTCATCACTCAACTAAAACTTCTCTCCAAAGTAACCAACGCTCTTTTTTTTTTTTTGGTTAGGCAATGGGGTTAAGTGACTTGCCCAGGGTCACACAGCTAGTAAGTGTTATGTGTCTGAGGCCGGATTTGAACTCAGGTACTCCTGAGTCCAGCCGGTGCTCTATCCAAAGAAACAAGCAGCCAACCGGGCCGGGAAAAAGGAGAAGCCCCCCCTGCGGGCCCACCGAAAGCCACCTGCCTCCCAGTGTCGTCCTTTCTCTCTCTTCGGGGCTCAGTCTGTCTCTCGGGAGAGGGCCGCAGACACCACTACCCAACTCCCCTCAGCGGGCGGGTCCCACCACTGAAGCTCTGAGAGAGCCCAGAGGGGGAGGGCGTAAGGGCCGCGAAAACTCTTTTAAATGCCAAATCTTTTTTTTTTTTATTATTAATAAATTTATTTATTTTTAGTTTTCAACATTTACTTCCACAAGATTTTGAGTTCCAAATTTTCACCCCATCTCGCCCCTCCCCCTGCCCCAAGATGGCATATATTCTGAATACCCCTTTCCCTGCTATCTCTCCCCACCTTCTCTTATCCCCTTCCCCTCCTATTTTCCTGTAGGGCGGGATAGATTTCTGTACACCATTTCCTCTATCTCTTATTTCCCAGTTACATATGTTTTTAAAACTTTGGGTTTCAAATTTTCTCCCTTCTTCCCTCCCCACCCACCCTCATTGAAAAGCCTGGCCTTCTCTCTGTTCCTCCCACTTGACCCTGTATCTCCTGTGTGAGTCAGTGCCTGTTCCCATGCCCAGAATGTCCTCCCTCACTTTGGCCTCATAAAGCACCTCTCTTCCTTCAAGACACAATTCACGAACCACTTTCTGTATAAAGCTTTGCCTGATTTCCTTGAATGTCCATTCAACTGCTACTACCTATATTTATTAGTATTCACTCTCCATATTTATTCTGGGCATAATTATATACTTGTACTTTTTGTCTTCCTTGAATGTGAGCACCTTTAGAGTAGGAATTGTTTCATTCTTTGTATTTGTATTCCCAAGCCTTGCACAGGGTCTGGCACATGATAGGTGCTTCATAAAGTGGTTGTCCTTGGATAAAAGATAGCTCACCTTGTCTCCACTTTGTCATCGCTCTTTTGGCAAGGTTTTAGCACCTTTCCTTTAAATGCAAGTCACTTTCTCTTTCTGGAAAGGGTAGCTCAGTAAATACACTAGGCCTTCTCTCAGCAGACTTGCTTTGATCCCCTGGACTGGAGTTTGGGTGATCAGGGTAGCTCAGGGGTGGGGAACCTGTGGCACTCTAGATCCTCAAATGCAGCCCTTTGACTGAATCTAAACTTCACAGAACAAATCCCCTTAATAAAAGGATTTGTTCTGTAAAACTTGGACTCAGTCAAAAGGCCTCACTTGAGGACCTAGAGGGCCACATGGCCTTGAGGCCACAGGTTCCTCACCTCTGGGGTAGCTTGTCACTTAACCTAAGAAGCACATATCTGGGAAAAGGCTGTATTCTGTGGTATCAGCAGACTTCCCCTGCTCTTAAATTCTGCACCTGACCTGCCTTTCCAGATTTTCTTGCACGTTACTTCCATTCATGCACTCTTTATTCCTACCAGACTGACCTCCTTGCTATCCCTTGACTTTGAAGCTTCATCTCTTGCTTCTGTGCCTTTGCAGAGGTGCTCCCCCATGCCTAGAATGCCTTTGTTCTTCCCTTATGCCTCTTAGAAATCTCCAGCATCTTTCAAGGTTCAGACCATGTTCCATTTCCTCTTTAACTCAGATCAAATGAAATGCTATATGTAAAGTTATTTTCAAATCTTAAAACACTATATAAATGTTAACTATTATCTTCAGCTTCGTAAAGTAGAAACAGTGTGTTGCAAATAATAGCAGTTTAAATGTATCTCTGAGGGATTTTCAAGTTGGTGGTCTCCATATGCATCCCCTTACCTTAGATAAATAGGATATCTTGGGTTATTTTTCATAGGATTTTAATACTTGCAATTTTTTCCTAACACTTAGTAAAACAAAAGGGCCATTTTGTGGAAAATTTGATGACTATAAAAGCCTAATGGAAAATATTTGCTGTTTTAGGCTGTTAATACAAATTTCAGATTAGGATTCACAGATTTTTCCTGTCTTGTGTTTCTAGGTTCATTGGTTGAGGACCCAGTTCCCTTCTCTGGATATTGAGGTAGATGGTGGAGTAGGTCCTGACACAATTCATAAATGTGCAGAGGTAAGATGCTTCCCAAAGTTCCTAGGTAAAATAAATTAGGAGTTTAAAAGATCCTAACCACGGCCAAGGGGTAAGGCAAGCCAGACTTTTAGGGCAAATACAATTTCCCTCTTTCCTTTTCCAAATTGACCTTGACTGGACAATACAATGTGGGAATTTAGTACAACCTGCAAAACTGTACTCTAAGGCCAGTTATCTTGATAGTGATGGGGGCAAATTCATATGAGCAACACTATGGACAGCCATTACCCATCCTGGACCCAGGGGGAACCACTTCCATGGGCTCGACTCCTTTCCCACATTTGCTGGGGAAAGAGAAGGCATTTTATAGAGCACGTCTTTAGGCATTTTTACCCTTGAAAGCAGAGATTATTTCCTGCAGATAATAATAGCGCTTTCACCAACCCTTCTTCAAAAGAATGTGTGTGTGTTTGAAAATTATTGACACCTTTTGTTTTAAAATCAGTCGTTTCCAGATATCCTCCTGTCCATCCCACCATTTAAATCTTCCTTGTAACAATGAAAAATAATTAATCAAAACCAGCCACATAGTGATTTCCTCAGACAGTGTATGTTACATTCTGAACCCTTTTCCCATACCTTTCCCAAGAGAAAGATGGTAAGTTTTGTTGTCTGCTCTCTAAGATCAGGATTGCTTGTTATAGTTATTCAGAGTTTACCTTCCTTTTTATATGTTCCTTTCACTTACAGTATCATTGTCATGGTGTATTTGTTCAGTGGTTTTGCTTTTCTTCAGTTTGCATCCATTCATGCAAGTCTTCTGTTGTTTCTTTGAATTCTTGATATTCATCAGTTTGTTTGGGCATTTCTCCAGTCAATGAGTACTACTTTTTTTTTTACTACTATAAAATGTACTAATATGAATATTTTGGTGCTGCATTGAGGAGGACATTTATGTCTTTGACCTTCTTGGGTTATGTGCCCCATGGTTAGTTCACTTGAGTCAGAGGTTAGAAAATGAGGGTTTTTTCCCTTGACTCTTCACTACACTCTCTTTGGTGATCTTATATCCATTGCCATGGCTTCAGTTATCAGTTCAATTAATTTTGATTATATCAAGATACATAAAAGAGAATACACATCCCCAAAGCATTCCCATCCCTGAAGATCCCTCTCTCTTTTTTTTTTATATAGAAGTACCCATTCTGTTCCCTTTTTATCCAGTCAGCTGTAAAACCCAGACAAATATTACTACATAGGTCTCTATCTCTCCATATACTGCTACTATTGTACCCTGTCCTCATAACTGCTTTCCTATACTATAGTAATAACTTCCTGGTTGGTATCTTCTGCCCTCGCATTCAGTGTTTGATTTCACTCTAACCTGAGTATTCATTGCCCCAGTCTCCATGTTCAAGAATTCCGAAATTCCCTTATCTTACCGTAATCTATTGGCTTTCTACCTCACTGTCTGCCTTCCCTTACCAAACCTTACTCTTCTGTCTCTATGGTGACCTTCAATCCTTTGACCCTTTAGGTCTCTCCCAGACCAGCTGCCCTGCACTAGCCGCTCTCTCCTCTCTTCCTCATCTTGACCCTTGGTGAACCAATTCAGCTGTGCATTGTCCTCTTGAGTCTCTGGCCCACTTAGTCTTATCACTAAATGTCCCCTTCCTCAGTCTTTGACTTCCACCATCCACTGCCTTTGCTTCTAAACACATGCTGCGGAACATAGGTGGAGAAAATCACACAACTGCTCTGACTGGGTACACTACAAATTTGTGTTACAGAACCTCAATTGGTCCCTCACTGTTGCCAGGCAAATTTTCTCCCTGGTGGCTCTTCAAACCTTTTTATTCCCTCCGCAAGACCTCTGCCTAACTCCCCCTACTTTCAGTCTCTTAGCTGAGAACTTTGCCTCATATTTTACACAAAAAATGGAAACCATTCGCTGGGAGCTCCCTTTTTCCTCTCATATCATTCAGATGCCTTCAGCCACTCTACTTCACTCCTGTTTCCCAGGAAGAGGTGGCCATATTCTTTACCAAGGCTCACCTCTCTACCCGCAAAAGCAATCCCATTTCATCCCCTTTTTCCCTCTGTATTGCCTCCTCTGTCACCCCCACTTTCTTATTTATCTTGCCGGCTCCTTCCTTATTGCCTTCAAACATGCCTGTGTCTCTCCTCCTCAAAAAACCCCTCACTTTACCCTTCTATGCCCATTATTGTCCTGTATTTTTTCTGCCCTTTGTGGCTAAACTACTTGAAAAGGCCATCTACAATAGATGCCTTCACTTTTTCTCCTTCTTAACCCCTTACAATCCAACTACTGACCTCATCATTCCTTCAAAACTGCTCTCTCCAAAGTTACCAAAGAATGATCTCTTAATTTCCAAATCCAATGACCTTTTTTCTTCAGTCCTATTCTTCTTGACCTCTCTGCAGCTGCAGCCTTTGACACTGTTGATCAGCCTTTTCTCCTTGATATTCTTTTCTCTCTAGGTTTTTTGGGACACCACTCTGTCCTGGTTCTCCTACCTATCAGACTATTCCTCAGTTTCCTTTGCTGGAACCTTATCCAGGTCATGCCTTCAAACTGTAGGGATTCCAAAAGGTTCCATCCTGGGTCCTCTTCTCTTCCCTCTTTATACTACTTTACTTGGTGATCTCATCACTTCCCATGGATTTAATTGCCATCTCTATATTGACAATTCTGAGATCTACCTATCCTGCCCTAACCTCTCTGCTGAACTCCAGTATCATATCTCTGACTGCCTTTCAGACATCTCAAACCATATGTCCAGTAAAGATCTTAAATTCTACATGGCCAAAACTGAACTCATTCATTATCTTCCCCCCAACTGTGTCTACTTTCCATCTTTGTGTAGGGCAACACCCCCCTCCCAGTCCTCCCAGCTCTCAACCTAGCTGTCAAACTTCACTCTTCACAGTCTCTCACCCTCCATATCTAATCTGTTGTTGTTTTTACCTTTGCACTATTTCTCAAATGTTCCTTCTTCTCTCCTCTGATACTGCCACCACCCTGGTACAGACCCTTATCAACTCAAGTCTGGACTATTGCAATAGACTGCTGGGGAGACTGCCTGCCTCAAGTCTCTATCCCCATTACAATCCAGCCTTTATTCAGCTGCCAGAGTGATTTTCTTACAGCACAGGCCTAACCTTATGTTCAGTCTCCTCCCCTACCTTTCCAGTTTCCTTACACCTTACTCCCTGCCATGTACCCTTCAATCCAGTGACATTGGCCTCCTGACAAACAAGACACTCTATCTCTCATCTCTGGGTATTTTCTCTGACTGTCCTCCCTGCCTGGAATGCTCTCCCTTTTCTGTTCTGACCACAGACCTCCCTGGCTTCTGTAAGTCTCAGCTAAAATCCCACCTTTTACTTTACAATTCCTCTTAATTCTAGTGCCTCCCCTCTCTCAAATATTTCCTGTTTGTCCTGTATGTAGCTTCTTTGTACATATTTGTTTGCTTGTCTTGCCTATTAGATTGTAAGCTCCTTGAGGGCAGGGACTGTCTTTTGCTTTTCTTTGTGTCCCTAGTGCTTAGTACTGTGCTTAAAGTAGATGCTTAAAAAAATGTTTATTGACTGACAGTTGTGATTGGCAATCCATTGTCAGTGTTCTTTGAATCCCTGCGGAAAGGGACTGGAGGACAGATGCCCTAAAACTGAGTAGAGTCTGCATACTAAAGACTAGTGAATTTGACTTTAGTTTTTGGCAAAACTTAGAATATATTGTTAAAGAGATGGTTAGTGGGCATCTAGAAGAGCAGGTGGTGATTGTTTGATTAAGAACAAGTCATGCCAAACCTACTTTCTTTCTGTGGCAGGTTTCCTCAGTTGGCACATCAGGGAATGTTGTAGTTTACATAGATGTAAACTTTTTATGCCCTTCTCATGAGCAAAGTGGAGAGATGAGCTAGGAAGTGTTAGGTAGGTTGATTTAGAGCTGGTTGAATAAATGGATCCAAGGAGTAGTCCAGTGCAGAGATTCTCCACAAGAAAACTGGTTGGCTTTGTGCTGCTTAACATTTTTATCAATGACTTGGATAAAGGCATAGTTTGTTGAATCAACAATCTATTTTTTTTTTTTTTTTTTTTGGCTAGGCAGTGAGGTTAAGGGACTTGCCCAGGGTCACATAGCTAGTAAGTGTTATGAATCTGAGGCCGGATTTGAACTCAGGTCCTCCTGAATTCAGGGCTGGTGCTCTATCCACAGTGCCACCTATGTGCCCAACAATCTTTCATTAAATGGTTACCCTGGTGTCAGGAACTGTGGATACAAAGTAAAAAAAATTAAATAGTCCCTGCACCCAAAGGAATTTACATTCTATCACAGAAAATACCATGAATGTATATATATAAGCCTATATACAATAGAAATACAAGGTAATTGTGGCAGGGGAGAGCACTAGCAGCTTTTCTCCATGAGGAAGAGCTTTGTGGAGAAGGTGACAGTTGATCTAAAATAAAGGATTCTAAAAAGTTGAAGTGAGGAGGGATTGCATTCTAGGTTTTGGGGTACAACCAATGCAAAGGCTATAGAAGAGAGATGGAGCATTGTTTTTGAGGAACAGCAAGGCCAATCTGGCAAGACAACAGTGTGGGAAAAATGGTGATATATAATGAAGTTGTAAAGGTAAGTTAGTGCCAGGTTGTGAAGGCCTCTAACAGTCAAATGGATCAGTTTTTATTTGATCCCCAAAGTGCTGAATTTGGTTGAATAAGGGAGTGAAATTCTTCAATCTGCATTTTAGAGAAACCACTTTAGCAGCTTGGTGGAGGATAGATGAGAGTGAGGAGAGATGTAAAGAAGGAATACCAATTAGGAGGCTTTTGCAGTAGTCTAGGCAAGATGGTATGAGGACCTTAATTAAGGTGATGGTTGTGTATATGTGAGAAAAAGAATGATTCAAGAGCTGTTGTAGAGGTAGAAATTGTAAGATTTGGCAATTAATTGGATAGGTGCAGAGAGTCGAGAGTTGAAGCACTTAGGCTTTGAATCTGGGTGA